AGATATTGATAAGCTGAAGCATGTGCAGAGGAGGGTAACAAAAATTGTGAAAGGCCTAGAAACCGTACCCTATGATGCACAGCTTAGGGGGCTGAGTATGTGCAGCATGGAGGAAAGAAGGTTAAGATATAACATGATAGCCATGTTTCTATATTTGAAGGAATGACATATGTAGGATGGAGCAAACTAGTTTTCTGCTGCTCCAGAGATTAGGACACAGAACAATAGACTCAGGTTACAGGAAAAGAGATTCCACCTAAACATTAGGACAGACTTCCTGATGGTAAGAGCTGTTCAACAGTGAAATATGCTGTCTCAGAGTGTAGTGGGGTCTCCTTCATTGGAGGTTCTTTAAAAGGAAACTAGATGGCCATCTGTCACAGGGCGTGCTTTGTGTATTTCTGTATGACATAAAGTTGGACTGGATGACCCTTGTGGTATCTTCCAACTGAAATAGTGAGGGAGGGTATGAACAATATCACATTAGCCAGAATCCTGTTGGTGTCATAGACCTGTGTAAGTTTACTTACATATGCTTTTGTGTTAGCTTACATATGCTATTGTGTTTTGTACAATAGACACAATCAGTTCATGGTTGCATAATTGGATTTCTTCAAGGATAACTACTGCACATAGACCTAAATCCTATTCTTTGTCCCTGGATAGAGTGGACTTGCTGAATATGTGCTGACTTGCCATTCAAAATTGAGTGTGTCTAGTCTAGTAAGAACCAACCAACAAGATTTCAGCCTTGCAGTTGCATATACCTGGATATAACTATATAACTACTTGTCAGTGCCTTCAGTGTACCAATATATATGCTGGGATTGGGGAGAAACAGGGTGAATTTCCCATTGCACACTGGGAAAATAAGCAAGCACATTGGTAGATACATGGGTAGTTGCACACTGCTGGTATTCAGCAGAAAGGTTTTGTACGAGTAGCACAACCACTGTGTAACCATGTGAGTGCACATTTACACTATGTAAGCACAATGTAGGATGCCTCATTCCACAACGTATGTGTCTCATTCCACTTCTTTCAGTTATTTCTTCATTCACAAGCCAATCCAAAGTATGACACAATAGCATAACATAAGCAATAACAGGAGGGACTGAGAAAGAGAGAGAGAGAGAAGATATATGAAATATTGCTCAATGGAAGATGGAGCAAGCTTGCTTATTTGTGTTTAGTTGATTGGTTGCTGTTGTTTTGCTACTCCAGATGACAGGACCCAAACAGATTGGATCAGATTACAGGAAAAGAGATTTCAACTAAACATCTGGAAGAATTTCCTGATGTTAAGGACTATTCAACAGTGAACAGACTGCCTTTGAAGATGGCGCACTCTTCTTCATATGAGCCTTGAAACAGAAGTTTGGATGTTCACTCTCTTTTTTTGCCAATACTTTTTACTGAGTTTATACATGAAAAACATAAACCAGAGACATAAACTGAGACAGCATCGATCAACAAAACACAAATGTGTTACTCCTCCCCCCCCATGCTTATATACATGACTTCCCACACATCCATAACTAAGACATGGATATGTATCTTTTGTGTACTTCTTAATCAGTTTTCTCTACATTTACTCCTTCCCATGTCTTTACATGGTTAAACAGTTTCTGCATACTTCAAAATTCAAAAGCTGCTTATATTGTCATCCCCCATTTCTTTTGAAGAAATTGAAAAAATGGATCCCAATTTTTCAAAAAATTGTCTGATGATTTTTGTCTGATTATAATAGCATGCTTACTTTTCAAGTATACTTTCATGGCAGATTCCTGTTGTGAGGTCTCTTCCATCTATCTCATATTCTGTGATTTGTGATATTCTTTGATATTGGACTGCGAAGGGTATTACCTTTTTTTACACTGTATGTGTGTGTATCTGTATGTGCACTCAGCCTATATGATGGGGGGGGGGAATTGCATAGCTAAAGAAGGAAAGTGGTGATGATAACTGTTGTTGATGGACCATTGTGTAACACTGGCTGGCAACAGCACGCACTTTCCCCTCTTGGATGGGGTTTTTCAAAAGTGATGCAATATTTTGTGCAGCTATATATGAAAATATCTCTGAACATTATTAAGATACAAAAAAATCCTTCATCCTGAGACAGAGAGAGATGTCAGCAATGAATCTGTCCCTTTGGAACATAGAAAACTCAGTTTTAGCAGAATCCATGGCAGATATCACAGGGATCTCTGTTCACAAGCACTCTCCATCAATATATTGGATCTGATTCCATCCTCCAAATTGCTATTATTACCTCCACTTTAAATAATGGACCTCAGAGGTTTGTTTTCTTAAGAAAAATAAACAAATCCCACAGCCTTAAAGTTTTCTCACTACTTAGACAACTCTTATGCATACTATACAGTGATCTAAGTGTCAACAACTTTGCTCACATTTCCTGGCAGTGACCATTACAAGAAAAGAAGAAGAAGGAAGCTGCATACATTTCCTAGCAGGGGAAATTCTCTGTATCCACTGTTGAAGTGAATGAAATAGATCTATTCCAATCTGCTAAGCAAACAGAAAGCACCTCTCTGGTATTCTCTGTTCAAGCTTGTGCATTCTATGCTGGATGGGCAAGATCTTTCAAGTTCAGAGATAAAATAATGATTGAGATCCAGAAGGAGAACATTTCAGTCCTGATTATTTCAACTTCTGGTCAACTATCTGAGATTTGCAAAAGGTAAGACATTCTAGTCCTGAAATGTTTCCTGCTTTTATACCACATTTTCCTCTTTTGTGCTATCCCCTTACTTTCTCTCTCTCACACACACACCTCTGTGAAGGAAACTTTATTCTGAAGGTTTATGCTGAACCTCTTAGATCTCATTCTATCCTCACCCAAATGGAGCTAAAGTAGACGATTTAATTATGTTGCTCATTTTCATGTTCTTTATTATTATTTTAATTAAAGTTTTTGAAAAATAGAAATTTTAAAAATATATGCCATATAGAACAGAAATATTTCTTGTTGATACCAATATGAATATCACACCAGTATATGCCATATAGACCAAAAATAATTGCAATAATATATATTAATTTTAATTCCTACCCTTCAAATGTTGATTCTATTTGTTCTGTTACTTATTTTTTCTTGATAATATTCAGTGTTGGGCATTATGTTAGGCTCAGCCTTCTACAATTTATTATCTAATAAATAGTTTATACTATATGGACTATATAGTATTATAAACATATATCAAATGATTATCTTTTTCTGAATATGGAACAAATATAAATATTAAATCTAACTTATAATAAGGCATACTATACATAAATTATTTTCCTTTAGTCATCTAAACCTATCACAGATAAATTCCACACTAGTTCACTCCAATATATATGGCAAACACAATAGGACAAACAGAAAATAATATGATGGTTGAAAATGAACATTATATAAACTAATAAACCTCAACAAGAACTGGAAATGTTTAATAATACATTGGAGGTGTAATGATACGTCTAAGGTGGAATTATCTGTGATAGGTTTAGATGAGTAAAGGAAAATAAAGGATTTATATTTATATTTGTTCCATATTCAGAAAATATATATATATATATTCCTGGTGACAACTATTTCATCAGTTGGTTAATTTTACAAGGAAAGCAGCAAGTACACAAATGTGAAGATGGGTTGGATTAAATGGATCAGCCATTTAAATGTAATTTCTTGTTCCTGAAACCCCAGGCACCTTCAGACTGGAGTCAAGAAAGAAGAGCTCTTCTAACAATTGGCGCTTCTTGGTGACTTTACTCCTACTTGTTCCCTGGAGGTTCTTTTTGGTTCTTTTTTAAAAGGTAAGGTAGGAGGAAATAATTCCTTTCTTGCATGAAGAGGGTCTCCAAAAGAATGTCAGTGGGATGAAGAGAGGCTCTCTATTGCACTGTGGTGAGGAGTGATGCCTCAGTGGAAGGGAAGAGCCTCTAACAAAGGTAGCCACTTTGATGCAATAGCTGAGGTTTTCAGAGCAGGGACATTGTCCTAGTTCTTGCATAAAATTGGACTAAGGACAGAGTGGAGCTGAGTAATTTCCAGTATGTCTAGGTTGAATGGGGATTGGAGTTATGCAGCTCCAATTGGCCTAGTGTCAACTCAGTTCTCTCTTGGCTTCCTCCACATACATTCAAGGTGAGGACAATCACAAATACATAATCACACTCATACCTGTTGAATTGCAACAATACCCAGTATTTAAAGAGTTAAATATGTCTTAGAGAACACTGATAGGATTGAATTGTGTTTCAGTGACATAAAGTGGTCTCCTGTATTATTGACTTATCCTAACCTCTCTGAGTGAGAGAGAGCATGGTTTAGTGGTTTGGGTGTCAGACTACGACTCCGGAGATCAGGGTTCAATTCCCTGCTCAAACATAAAAGCCCACTGGGTAACCTTTGACAAGTCATTGTCTCTCTGCCTCAGAGGTTGGCAATGGCAAACCCTCTCTGAAGAAACCTTGTAGTTTGTTGTGGCACCAGAGCTTTCTGACAGGAAAGGCTAAATATCTCACAAAACTATTCCAGAATTCTATAGCATTGAGCCATGGCAGTTAAAGCAGTGTCAAACTGCATTAATTCTGCAGTGCAGATTAGACCTAAGATGTAAATTGATATTTTTGGGGTCTTTCCACTTTTTCTCTCCTCCTCCTCTTTATTATCTCCCTTCTGCAAATGTAAAACTATCTTAGCCCTGTCTTAGCCTAGCTTAGCTTAGCACCCTTGGAGAGTTTTCCTACCTTGGCATTACAGTTTCAACATTATTTTATTTTCTATAGCCATTGCTGTGATTGCTCCTTAATCAGAAGAACAGTTGAACACACTCTCTGGTTAGAGACATGCTCAAAGCTTGGATGGCATCAACCATGCCAGGTAGATAGCAGGATCAGCATTTTCTCAGTAATTATCTGAAGCTTAGCTAATCTGATGGGTACTGTTAATTTATTGCTAACCTGTTTGTGTTCATTCTGAATCTCATTATATGAATAAACCTCTTTCGTTTCTATCCCACATCATATGCTAAGACTTAATTCCTCTTAAGGAGGAAACAGGAAGTGTACTAGAAGCAAGAAATCTGCAGACTGGCCTGACAAATGATTTGAATTAACTGAAAAAGATTTGCTTCTGCCTAGGACTTAAACTGGTGAGATTATCCAGATAAGGTTTCCCTAGGTTCTATGTCATGTGTTAGTTTCATATTCTAATTTGTCTAGTGGTTAACCACTGTAATCTAAAAATAAAGAAGAAATGTCATTGCAAACCATTGCAATGGATGCTTTTCATTACAGTGAGTGAAAATGAAATGTATTGTTTTAACTCTGGTACCATGCCTTCTTTGTTTATGACCAAATTATCAAGCCACACTAATGTGCACAGACAGCTGGGCAGGTACATAAGGAATTATATTGGAGAAAAGGGAGTTTTAGTGGAGGCAGATACTCTTCCTGAAAAAGGTGGACTCTGAGGCCATTTGGGGACAAACCAGAAGAGAAGGACAAAAAGTGAATAAAGGAAACCAGTCTGCTTCCCACTTTCTCTATCATGACTTTCTCTACCATGGTGGGCCTGCTTTGACTTCTGGTGGTTCTCTTTGATTGAAATATTGAGTGTACATTTTGGGGGGCTGAATTTAGGGGGTAAATAATCTTGTGGAGAAGGTTTGAGACCCCCCTATCTGAGCATGGTGGGTTCATTCAGGATCAAGGCCCTGTGTGAATACAAAATAAAAATTTGTGAATACAAAATATGGCTACTTTAGGTAGCCTGTTATGCAATCCATGTAGTGTTTTGTTTGACACATAAATCCATATCAGTGATGGATTTTTCAAACTTGTTCAATACATGAAAAAAAGAAATAGTAGGCTGTACATTACAGCCACATCTTTCTGGTTTATCTCCATGATTAAAACCCCCCACTAATTTGATCTCTGTTTTTTTCTTCCAACAGAATTTTTTTCTGTCAAAAGAACCCTATAAGCAAAGATTGAACATAATGGCCAATTTCAGTATGACACCCCTGTCCACTTTTGATGCTGTAAACAAACATTATGGAAAATTTAATGAAACCCCAAATAACAGTGCCATCTGTTCAGATCCAGGACTGGATGAAGGTGTGCTTGTTTTTGCCATCTTCACTATGCTGTTTTGTGTTTTGGGGATTTTAGGGAATGGAATTGTCATCCACCTGCTTGGCTCCAGTAAGAGGAACACCTTCACCATTTATATCCTAAACTTGTCCATTGCTGACTTTGGCTTGGTCACCATTGAACTGATTATAGAAATAAATTGGCTTGTGTCACACTTGTATTGTGGCTTTCCATATGAATTGTTCCAAACTATCTTCCTACTGATGTACAGTGCAGGTCAATTTCTACTGACTGTTATCAGCATTGACAGATGTATCTCTGTCCTCTTCCCAGTTTGGTACCGATGTCACCGGCCAGCACACTGGTTCACCACTGTGTCTGTCCTAATATGGGCCATCTCCTTCATCCTCTGTGCCATTCACTTCACTCTCATTCTTACGACAGGCTTTGGCAATTCCCCCATGATGTACCAATTTATAGTAAATGCTGTGCTTTGCCTCCCACTGATGACTATCTCCAGTCTGACCTTATTCATCAAAGTCTACTTTATATCAAAACAACAGAGGCGAGGAAAACTTTTACTCGCAATTCTGCTAACTCTTATTTTTTTCCTGATCCTGGCTTTTCCACTGAATGCCTTTTACTTTACCATTTATGTTGTTCATGCTATACACCCCAATCTTGTTCATTATGGATACTTGTGTGCATGCATAAACAGTAGCATTAACCCACTGATCTACTTCTTGGTTGGGAGACAAAAGATGAGCACAACTAGAAAGACCATGAAAGAAATACTCCAGAAGGTTTTCAAGGAAGAGGAAGACCAATCAGAAGAAATGGAGACCTCTGAATGTAAACTATGATTGTTCAAAGAGGTGAAAGCATCAAACTTTGTCATTCTAGTTCTAACAAGGCACTCTAGTTTCTTCCAAGTAAATATGAATAGCACTGAGCTATGCTTCATGCAGCTGTTTTTGACCAATATAAATTTTGGAATTAGGATATGCATAAAAATTCAGTCTTAACCTGCATATGGACAGTTACCTTTGTGGACTGATAGACTGGACTGATAGACTGGCAAAGGCATATGTTGTGCTACAGATGCAGAATCACTGAGAAGACAATGTGCAATGATCATATTTAGCTGATGGTACTATAAGTGGATTTGTACATGTGGAAGTGTTGTGCATTCAGTACCACATTAAAGTGCACAAAGTAGCATGTGAATGGGGATTGCCTTTGCAGGTTTCACATTGCAGTTGCACAGTGGGTTGTCAGTCATGTATCTTAAACATTGATCCATATTCATTGGTATTCAGTGTAAGTGTTGTGTAACATAACCCCACAGGGTGAAGTAGTGAAGCATCTTGGGGCATAGGCTGTGGCTTGGCTACTTATTTCAATGGATAGCTGATGTCTTAAGAGAGAAATGTTCTTATTGTTGTGTCTGCATATGTCCTGAAACCTTGTGCCTACCAGATATTTTAGGTGACATGTCCCACCATTTCAAGACCATCAAGTCCCAGAAAGTTTCATCAGCTTCAGACATTAACCCCCAGCCAGCATAGTCAATGAACATGCACAATGGTGATTGTAGCCCATGCCATCTAGATGGCACTACATTGAAGGCTGCTATCCTGTGCCAAGATTAACTGGATCAAAAGGTGGATAATTGTTAGAAGGGGGGAGATGCCATTAAAAATGTTCAAATAAAGTGTTTTGTTAGATGGCTTCAACATCAAGGAAACCTGTACAGGGAGATCATGTCACTTCTACCTGTGTGATGCCTTCACTGCCCAGAAAATGCATATTCTACTCAGACAGGCCTTTGACATATGCATTTGCAGATAATCTTGGTTTTTAATTTGGTGGGTGCTTCTATTCTCTTTTTTTTTTTACTGGCATATAATTACTCTTTAATATTTATTTCTTGCTAAGATGTGTGTGTTAATGTGTGGTTCCTAATATTTTAATTGCAATATTGTTATGTGCTTTATAGTTTATATTTTGTATATTTTGTATTTTGCTGTTAGCTGTCTTGAGTACTATTGTGTATAAATATGATAAATAAATACATAAATAGGCACTCAGTGGTTTCAAAATAACCTCCTTAAATATAAATGGAAGGCAATGTGGAAAGATTGCTATAATAAGTTTGCCTGAGAAAAATTACCTGTCTTATCAAGCTTACCTCTAGCTTTCTCTCAAAGAGAATCCCCAAACTGAAGAAGTGGTTTTTAATCCACAGAAGCACCTGATTGCAAGTTTAGCGTTGTCAACAAAATTTGTTGTTGTATTGTTGGACCAGAAGGCATTGGCTAACACTTTGAAAATCAAAATGGTTCCATTAACCACAGTAAACATGGTGATACAAAAGTTATAATAAAATTCTATTGCTGAACATAGTTGGCAGCTTTTCCCTACTGCCTTATCAGGAACTGTATTTCATGTAGCACGTCTAAATGCCATGCTCCCGAAGTGGCCAGAAGCTGCTCTATTTGGCCAGTCTGTTTCAGGCCAAAGTGTTTATTCATCACAGGAATACTATACCGCTTGATGTCTCCAACTCACTATATCTGAAGGCTGCTGATCCATAGCTCTTTACAGGTATGTTTCATTTTAAGATTAAGTACTTGCTTGACTAGTGGTAGTGAAGGTAGCATAGCCCAATGGAAGAAGCACACAGGTTTTGCATGTAAACAGTCACCAGTTCAATCTCTGAAGTTTTCACTTAAGAAGGCATCATTTAAGGGGATAAGAAAGTCTCAGTAAACATTTGAGAAGGCTTTCAAGTCATTGCAGGAAGCAGTGGACTAAAATAACCAGTAGTGTAATTCTCATGTCTCTATGTAGATTTATTAACCATGGAGAGGTTGGAGCAGAAATCTACACACAATCCACACCTTGATCTGCATGGATTCAAAGAGAAGTAAGCATAGAGTCTTTGTAAATGCATTTGCACATGATGGAGTTCAGACTCCTTTCTCCAGGAATATTTTTACAAAGAGCACAGAATTCGTAAATATTTATCATACAAGAATATTCAAATTCAGACCTTATTGTGGTTGTGTGCCTTCAAGCCATTTCTGACTTATGGCGACCCTAAGGTGAAGCTATCACAGAGTTTTCTTGGGAAAGTTCTTTAGAGGGATTTGCCATTGCCATCCTCTGAAGCTGAGAGAGTGTGATTTGCCCAAGATCACCCAGTGGATTTCACAGCTGAGCTGGGAATTGAACCCTGGCTTCCAGAGTCATAGTCCAATAATCAAACCACTACACATGTTGGCTC